CACACACGCATTCAATGCAATATAATGATGTTTCAATACAATATAATGATGTTTCAATACAATATAATGATGTTTATGACTAACTACCATAAAGCAATCAACCCAAAGGATAACTTACGCGTATAACTACGTGTGAGTTTTTTTTAACTTGTGTGCATCTTTGACAAACCATCGTTGTTAATTGGTTGATCGCATTTTAACGTTTTATTTCATTCTTATTTACCATACTTGTTTTAACTGTTATTAGTATGTGCGCACTACATATAGAATGTATCATTTTCCCACATTTAACACGTTCGTACTCAAATTACATTTGAGATAATTTCCGCCTGCCCTCTCTCTTCCATTGCTCGATGTTTCAATCACGCTTCCTCATACATTTGTTTCAATCATTCCTCTCATTCATTCACTGCATGTACACGTTTTAAATTCCTCGAAAAATGTGTTCGTTCGTTTGTTTGTTCGTTCGTTTGTTCGTTCGTTTGTTTAAGGATCAGATTGAGGTGTTGAATGCAACGCAAAGGATAATATATAAGAACTGAAATGCTCGTAATGGCTATTGTGGATTGATGGTCATGCATGCGCTTCATTGAAAACACTGAATGATTTAAACTGTCTAGCCGTCTTATTAATTACTGTGGTTGAAAGTTGACTGGTTGAAAGTTGTTTGGTTGAAATCATCTAAAAATATTATTGATCAACTACTTGAAAATGTGTACCTCCTGGCTGTCATTCAACTGTTTTTTAACCAATTCATCAAACTACAGTTCGCAATTATACAATCTTAATTTCAAACTTTTGCTATTTCTCGTTATCAAATAAACAAACATTGCAATATTAATGCAGTCTATTGTGTGAAACGTTGCTTCTCATTGATCAATTAGTTCCCCATACTTATAATTACATCTGATTTAAAACCACAAAATTACCACAATATAATATTATGATAATATATTAAACTAAACAAATGGTTTTGAAGGCTAATTAATGTTAATGGTCACTTATTAATCAAATCCAAACAGGACCGCCTGGTTTGTCCGTCAAAGGAGAGAAGGTTTGATTAAATTTTAAAATATAAAATGATCAATTAAAATTTATTATATTGGATTAAAAAATTTAGAATAAACTTTTAAGTTAGAAGTTTTAAAATAATTAATCGCATTCAAATTAAAGTTTACAAATTAAAAAAATTAAACAATAATTTTATATATTTTAATTAAATAACACCTTCTTTATTACTTAAAAATAATAATATAACTTCCAGGGAGATCCAGGGACTGCCACAGGAGAGCCTGGTCCACCCGTTAGTATGCTTGAATAGTTGGCTCAGAACCTCTCAAGTGATAGATAAGTAATTAGAAAAGGGGATAGAAACTTTCTGAAAAAAAAGACCAAAAAGAATGAAAAAGCAGATTTAGCATAAGAGTGTTTAGCAAGAGGAGAACGAGAAGACGATCTTAAACTGGGGCGTGTCGGTTCAATTAATATATCTGATAAGTACTTAGGAAATAATTTAGATTGAGACTTATAAATTAATGGGCAAATTTTAATGATTATTCTATATTTTATAGGTAGCTAGTTTAATCAGGAAGACCATAGTAGAGCGAGTTACAACAATCAATCCTAGATATTTATTCAATAATTTTAATTATTTAAAAAGGCCACCACATATCGTCATTATTTTCCCGTCATGTTACTAATACAAAACAATAGAGTGATAAATAAGACGCATCACATCTGGCACATCTGCTGAAGCCACCGGATTTACACGCGTTACACGTCTGCTTGTTGTTTCTATCTTCAAAAAGTATTAGAGGGAAAGTTTTATGAAAAAATAAATTTATTAAATCAAATTACGTTAATTTATTAAAAAAATTATTTCTTGAACAATGCTTGCAGGGACCCAAAGGAAACCGTGGATACCCTGGTTTTCCAGTTAGTGAGATGGTGGCTTGGAATGATGATAGTGTTGACGATGATGTTGACGATGATGATGACAATGATAACGATGATGATAACGATGACGATTTGATAATGTAGCAAATAAGAAGTAATGCTGGTGACAAATCAGGCGATGATGGTGGTCCTGATTATGATGTCAATGTTGGTGATTTATGCTGATAATGATGGAGATGATGACAATATCGATGATGAGGAGGATGATATTAAGGATGATGTCAATGATGAAGTTTGATGAGGAATATTAATTATTTATTCACCGTCTTGGTGGTTGATTGTAATTATAATTTATAAAAAAGTGAATTAACAGCGGATAAAATCGGCAATTATTATTAACAGTGTCATTTTTGTAAACATCGGATAAAAAATATTTCTAAAAAGTTTATTAGAAATGTTTCAAAAACTTTTGTAAAGGCTTTACAGAAATTGAGCATTGAAAAATATGCTGACTTATGCTCATTTATTTCTAATGATGGAATAACATTGAAGTTTTGAAGTTGATTTTCTTCAAATTTATATGAATATTGATGGATATATTTTAAATTTTCAAGTTAATAATAGTTGTGAAAATATTTGAAACTGACAATATTGAATAGATTATAACCAATTTCCAGAAGCTAAACAATCCTATTCTGTAAATTTCTGTTGGAATTTTTTCCCAACTTGTTAATTGAATTGAAATTGAAGGATAATTTTGAAACTTTCTACCAAAATGTAGGGACCGATAGGATTGGATGGAGCAAGAGGAATTCAGGTTTGATACATTTTAATTTTTAGCATTCATTTCGAAAAAGCTGCCACTTAAAATTTTTCAGTCTTATTTTTATAAATCGAATTCATAATGAGCGCTAAACTTCTGTTAACTGGAAGAATTGATCTATTATACAATAATTAAGTAATTAATAATTAAATTAATGCTTAAATTAGGGATGTGCGGTTCAACAGTACTTAAATGTTTGTTTGTAGGTATATTTATATATATTGTATATATATATTTATATATTTAAATATATTTATTTACATATATATATATTTATTTATTTATATATTTTTTAACTGTTATCTTGCAGACAAAATTTTATTTTTATATGAATAAGGTTATTTTTAAAATAAATATTTAAAAAAATAAGCCTATAACATTAATTGTAATAAATATAGCAGCAAAGTTTTTTATTATAAAAAATGCAAGAATTTTTTTGACAACATCAGTAATTATTTTTAACTCATCACTCCTTACTTTCATTGTCACAACCGCTATTTGAGTTATTAGTGCAGTAATAAATATTATTTTTAATCAATTTTTTATCAATTTTTACAAAACTATTATCTAGCATTAACACAGACTTTCGTACGTTATTATTGTTTATTTGTTTGTGGTTTATTATTGTTCCTACAATGAATTAATGTGCACGTTTATTACAACTTTTTTATGACAGAAGCAGAACTGAATAAAAACATGAAAATGTTTACTGCTCTGTTGATTCGATAAATGATCGTACATAAACATTATCGAGAATCTTTCATCTAGCTTTTTTTCCTGTGAACTTATTTCTCCACGACGATCAAAATGATTCTTTCCAGTTATTACCTGCCTATCGGTCGGAGTGGATAATTCATTTCGTAATATAAAGTGATTGCTATAAAAAGAACTGTTGTAGACTTAAAGTAAATGTTTGTTGCTGCAACTTCAATATGTACTTAAATACGCAAAAAGTTTTGTGTGTAACAAAATGTTATACATTAGTTATTGTTTTAATTTATAACTAATTTTACTTATGTCACGTCTATTACTTATATATTTCAATACACGCTGATCCCTGACTTGATAAACACATGCTGATATGTGCACTGGCACATATACACCAACACAATTCATAGACATCAATAAACAAACACTTACATATACAAATACACACAGACACACACGCACACGCAGAGGTATAAACACAATACCTAACAGGTAGAACGAGACAAAATACATTGAAAAGTAGCGTGCTTTATGGTCATATATAACGAGATAGCCTTAATTAACTTAGTTCAATACGTTGTATGAATTTTTTCTTTTTTATTAACAAGGGTCCCATGGGGAAGAAAGGCGAAAAAGGAGATAGGGTCTGACAAAGTTTTATTTGTTTTGTACTGTGTTTCTTGAACATTAATTTTGTGTTTTTGTGATTGAAAATTTTCAGTTTTTACTGATTTAAGGAAAATTTGTTGGCGTGTGTTATCATGTTTATATTTGTTGTTAAATAATCATTTTGTTTTCCTTAATTTGCGATCTTGAAAAAAATTAATTCATTGAAAAATTGAAAAGAAAAATCCAGACGATGATGCCGTACGGCCCGAATACCGACGACATGCATATTAACATTTCAATCGATTGCTATCTCTATTTTATAACTGCATTTTAAAAAAACATTTAACAATGTAGCACTTGAAACTCTTGAATGACCTCACAAAAAAACCTCACAAAACCTTCTCACCACAGGGATCCCTCGACAAGACGGTCTACAACGAAGTGTTGGGTGACGACGGTACAGTCAGCAACATCCATTTCACAACGAAGGTATATAAAAATACATGTTACGGTGTCTATCATTTATTGATCATCTATGATGATATTTTGCATCTGTAAGCGAGTAAACAATTTTTACGGTAACTAACACAACAAAATGTCTTTGTATTGATTGTATGCAACCATCGAATCATCACGTAAAACTGCTTCAAACATTATTTATTAAGCCCGGCAAACGATCAATCAAACTGCACGACGACAAGATCGGATACTCAGAAATGATGAAAATTAAGGTCCAGTTAAGAATATTCATTTAATTAAGTTCAAAATTTATTGAAGCCAATTTTTTTTGAGAAAAATATTGCATACTCCTCAAAAGTCTGAAACAAGAATCAATGGTAGAATTTTGTGAAACTAAAAAATTATTCTTGCAGGGAGTTAAATACCAAGTCATCGTATTGAAAGTAAGTTTTAGTTTTGCATTGAAAAGTAATTCAGCAACTTTTTTCATTTGTTTGAAATTTTTTTAAAGGGAGAGCCAGGGATTCCCGGTAAAAAAGGAAAAGCAGGTCAACCTGGAGTTGACGGGGTGAATGGATTACTGGGACCACAAGTGAGCATTATATATATATATATATATATATATATAATGCTCATATATATATAATATATTATATATATATAATATATATATATATATATATATATATACGTAAAAAGTAATCAAATCAACGTTAGCTTATAAAAATTAATTAGGGACCTCCAGGTACAACAGGAACACCAGGATTGCCAGGTAATCCTGGAAAACAAGGACCAAAAGGTGAAAAAGGTGACCAGGGTATTGAAGGTCCTGTGGGAATTCCTGGTTTTCCGGGAGAACCAGGATCATCTTCAGAATGCCACACATGCGTAAATTTCCTTAAATTTAACTTTTTTTTATTTTGCCAATATATACTGAAACAATGCCAATATATACTGAAACAATTAACCGAAATTTAAGGTTTTAAACGAAACACAGTTGGAATTATTGAGAGGTCCTCAAGGTTTACCTGGTGAGAGAGGAGACCCTGGTTATCCTGGTAAAATGGGTTTTCAAGGAGACCCTGGATTTCCTGGAGAACCTGGTCTTAAAGGAGACAAAGGTGACGTTGGTAATCAAGGAATTCCTGGTCCTCAAGGAATTGAAGGTCTTCCAGGAATGCCAGGAGAACCTGGTTTAGTTGGAAAAAGGGTTAAACTCAATTTTCTCAATTTTCTTTACAAATTTTTGTTTTAAAGTCATTATCTTTTGTTTAGGGTGCAAAAGGGGAAAAAGGTGATGTTGGACGAATATCGGGAATGTTGCAAGATGGAGCAACAGGATTTATTGAGGGGTCACCAGGTCCACCCGGTCCACCAGGTCCTCCTGGAAGAAAAGTTTGTCAAAAAAACAACCTTTCAAGCCAATGTCTACTGATGCATACCATGTTCACGTTTTACACAGGGAGAGATTGGTCTACCCGGTTTAACGGGACTTCAAGGGGAAAAAGGTGATAAGGGCAATTTGGGAAAGAGAGGCAAAAAGGTTAAGAATAAATTGTTCCATTATTTCAAAATTTAAAAAATTATATTTAATAACTTCATTTTTTTAATGTATTAAAATCAGTATATAATCAATATATAAAATTAATAACAGTTTTTTGTTTATTTTAAAAATTAAATGAATGGAAGTTTTTCCATTAATTACTCACTTGAGCAGATAGAAATGTTTTATAAAACAAACAATTTTGACATCGATCAAGACATTTATAAAAAATTTTAACTATTATTCTAATAAATTTAATTTGTGCAAAATAATTGATCAATGCCAAATTGAACTGTAGGGTTCCATAGGACCCATGGGCTATCAAGGTTCCATGGGCCCGCCAGGAGAAGTAGGAATGAAAGGGAATAAAGGAGATATGGGAATTCCAGGAGAACAGGTAAATATTTACATTCAAATATATTTATAGTTTGGAAAAAGTTTGAAATTTTTAATTTGGACAGGGAATAGATGGATTACCTGGAATCAATGGAAAAGATGGAGAAAATGGAAAAGAAGGGCCGATGGTGCAAAGAAATTTGTAAAATTTTCAAATTACTTGAAAAAATTTTTAAATATTATTTAATTATCAAGGGCATTCAAGGGCAAAAAGGCGAACCAGGTGATCACGGTCCTCAAGGAAGGGATGGCCAAGCTGGAATCCCTGGAGAACCTGGTCTACCTGTACGTTTTTCACTTACTTATTTGTTTATTCATTTATTTCCTTATTTATTTATTCATTTATTTTTATTCATAATAATTCTACAGTTTTTGTTTAATATTTTTTTGAAGGGGCAATGTGCGGAAATCTATCACGACAATCTCAATTTCGTGAAAATGGTAACGTTAGTTAGATTCAAAACTTAGATTCGTTTTTTCTATTAATTATTACATTGAATTTATTTAATTTAAAAAAAAATGTAACTGACCTGTTAGATTCCTGGACCTCAAGGGCCTATAGGACCAAGTGTGAGTTGCTAAATGAACCGATTAGGGGGAAAATTAATTACTAATTCTAAATACAATTTTTTAAATTTTATAGGGTCCTCAAGGACTGCCTGGCTCAAAGGTGAAATGATATAAATTATTGTTTTAGATAAATGTGTATACCAAGTTAGTTTCAAAAAAATGGAAATGTTGAAGTTTGTATAAGATAAAAAATTATACTGCAGGGCGACCGAGGATGGCCTGGAAACAAAGGAGAAGCAGTTAGTTGCTTGTTACTTTCTAATCATTTCAGTTTTATCATTCAATTTTAATTGCCAACCTACACGCACTCACAACATATGATGTGGAGTGTTTCTAATTTGTAACTCATCTGTCTACGGACACTGTCCCTTGCGAATTCAAGACAGCTCTGTTGCCGTCGGGCTTTTGAAATAGCCATATTTTGATTATTGCTAACGTCATTGTTATTAATCTTTTTACTTTTATTCTTCACTTTAACATACATAACTTGTTTTATCTGATAAATACATTAGAAAAAAAATACAATGGATGTCTGTGTCTAACCTCATTACCTAACAAATTACGATAGGGCGCGAACTAATAATGCAACGTACTTCATGATTCTAATTTGACTGTTTCTCTAGTTGAATTTTGATAAACATTCAACGGGATGCTAGTAATTACTGATTTTATTAGAAAGTTTAAAGCTTTTAGTCAAAGTGTTTTTTTCGTTTTATAGATTTTTGTTATTTGAAATGAAGATCATGGAACTTTAATCGCAAAACGGAGAAGTTTAGACGCCACACATTTTTTTATATTTTATACGACGAATATTCATATGGTAGATGAATTTCGAATGTGACTATGCCATGAAGCAAACGCTGCCCAGTCAACGTTAAATTCTAATGCTATAGTTCAATTTTTATATCAAAGTTATATGAATGAAGTAGGCACAAACAATTCATCTTAAAATTAATTAAATATTGTTAAAAATCATCAAAAACATTGTCTGTGTGGTTGTTGTGATTGATCCAAACAATTGAAAAACTGATTTTGTGCGTTTAAAAATTATCCACAAATTTCAAAAGTTACACATTTCCTTACAAATTTCTTACGCGAATTTGAAACATGAACAATTGGCAAAAGAAATCTTTAAAACTTTTTAACTTCATAAAACTTTTTAAAATAATGAGGATTATTTATTTATATAATATTTTATTGAATTATCGGTTTTTCTTTTATCGAATGGTGAGCAAAAAATTAAGGAAGTGGCTTAATCATTTCAATAAATTGTATTAAAAGTAGAGTAACATTATTTCAATATTTGTAAGGTAACATTAAAATATGATTATTAAGCTTGTTTAAGATAATGCTGTGTTTTTTTCAGAAATTAATTAAAATTTTTTCAGGGTTTGCAAGGTCAAAAAGGAGAAAAAGGAAATCTAGGCAATACTGTGAGTTCTTCAAATTCATTTCATGAACATTTGCCAGAATTATATTTTTATATGTAGTCCAGCTAACGTTCGCGTTAAGCATCTACTCTCACTCTAACCATAAATCTTTGTTCTTATAATAAATTTTCTGAAAATATTGAAAAGTTTGAAATTTTTTTATAAACGATTGATGTGCTATTCTGAAACAAGCTGTAAAAACAATTTAGTTGAATTTATCTGTTGAATGAAAACAAAAAGGGTGATAAGGGATCGGTCGGTGAGCCGGGCAAAGCAAGTCTTACAGCAGTAAGTCGATATTAACATGAAACCAATTAACACGTCATGCTGCATACGTATTTTTAGTTTTAAAGATATAACAGCTTTTTAGATTATTTTTGTATTGTAGACGTAACATCAAACTTTTGAAACTGCATAGTGTAGGTATATTTAGCTTTTCGATTTTGTGTAGCATCAAATAAAGCGCGTTCAATTTCATTATTTTAACAGTTATGCGTCTTATAAATTTAGATAGTGGCTTTATTCAAGTGCAAAAGGTTTAATACCGTAAAATTATTTTATAACATTTTCTTAATGTTTGTATAACAAGAGTTTTTAGTAGCAAGTTTAATTTAACAAATTTTTTGTACTCACCTAACTTTGCTTCTAATGCATTTTATTCAATGGAACATTAAATCCTCTAAATTGGCTTGTTCACACTTCATTCAACTGTTGCTGACATGAACGATGATTGTAATGTAACAATAACAACGATTGTAGTAATGATGATTTTATTGCTGTTAAAAATAACAAACAACCAAACAAATTTTTTTCTACTGATGATATTTAACATCTTCCTTGACGAATATTACAATCCTTACAAGGCCCTCAAGTGATGCCACTAAAATCTTTCACGCAGGCTATGTGTAATAATATCAATAATAATAGCATGTGTTTGTTGGAACGAAGGAGTAAATCTGGAGAACCTACAAATGTCGTGTTGAAACCGTGATCATAGATTTAATAGAATTTTCAATTTTTAATTATTAATCATTAATAATAAAATTTAAGCAAAATTTGAATTTAATTGGAGGGTCGAAACGGCACCCCTGGTGAAAAAGGTTCTCAAGGAACAAAAGGAGACATGGGACCAATCGGAGCAAGGGTGTGTGTGTTTGTTTTATATTTCTGCGTTTATATGCCACTGTTTGTATGTGTGTGTTTGTATGTGTGTATTTGGATTTGTCAGTGTGTCTGTGCGAGTGTAATTGTGTTTGTGTGTTTATATACGTTTGTTTGTATGTGTGTGTGTTTTGTTGTATGTGTGTGTATGTGTGTGTGCCTGTGCACATGCAAATGCGTGTATTTCCTGTGTCTTTTTAATTTCGTATCGGTTAAGTTTAGTGTTATTATCATTATCGCTATTGTAAATGTTGCCACTGAAATTTTACTTCATTCAGGGCCCGCGTGGATTCATGGTTAGAATTTTTTAATTATTAGAAATAAATGGGTTAAATAGATCGCTGTTATTTAGCTATAAAAAAATGGTTTAGCATAAACAATACACATAAACATAAACAATACACATAAATAATACACATAATCATAAACAATACACATAAACAATACACATAAACATAAACAATACACATAAACAATACACATAAACATAAACAATACACATAAACATAAACAATACACATAAACATAAACATAAACAATACACATAAACATAAATAATACACATAAACAATACACATAAACAATACACATAAACATATACAATACACATAAATAATACACATAATCATAAACAATACACATAAACAATACACATAAACATAAACAATACACATAAACATAAACAATACACATAAACATAAACAATACACATAAACAATACACATAAACAATACACATAAACAATACACATAAACATATACAATACACATAAACAATACACATAAACATAAAAATAAACCATACACATAACTAATTGGCTGTTAACGATGACATTAATAAGTATTCTGAGTTTTTTTTATGAAGTTTTTACTGAATTACGACTTATGCGGCGCTTAACTGATGAAGCTTCGAAAAGATTTCGTAATTTGTGCTGCATACATACAATATACATACTATATCTATATGCACGGTTTCAAAAGCACAATGATTAATTGGACACAATATATTGAGACGGTATTTGTATTTTGTAGAAATAGAGCTGTGATGATCAATATTTTGAATTCAACGTTGAATAGAGTATAATATATTTATAAGTTTATTACACGATTTTAGTCAAAATCGATAAAAATAGTAGTTCCCTTTTATTTTATGTAAAATAAATGGGTCATCAGCACAATGTGATTCTATTTTATATCGTTGAAGTCGTCGCTGAGTTTTTATCGCGGGAAGTTCATTTCATGATTTTAAAATTTGGACTTTTATAAATGTATCTACTCTTTAATTAATTCCGCACAATGATGAAAATGACAACATTAGCAGTATTTGCTTGCAATAAGGCCCGGCATTCAACAACAGTCTGTTGGGAAGTTTTTGGAACGTTTGTGTTTCAGTCATCTTGTCTTCTTATCTCACTGAATGTAAAAGAAATAACGAAACAATGTATTAATTAATTAATTAATTAATTAATTAATTGATTATATATAATAAAATTAATATTCTTGTGAACCACGCAGGGACAGCCAGGTTTCAAAGGAGAAAAAGGAGACAGAGTGAGCTTCCAACTTTTACGTTGTTTTATTTTTGTGGCTTGTATTTCTTGTATGCTTGTATTTCTGCTGCTTAGTGGAATAAGTACTAATTGGAATTATTTTTGTTGAGATTTCGTAGAATGAATTGCTTATAAAAAAAGTAATAACTTTACAGAATAATTAATTAGACAATTATTCCACGATAGGGTTCAAGAGGTCCAGACGGAAGGCAAGGAACTAAAGGTGAAAAAGGCAACCAGGTAACAGTTAAAACGTTGTTTTGATAAAAATCATTCGGTTGATAATTGAAATAACCCATTTTACTCGCTTTCACCGTTTTTTTCAATTTTGGTTAAAATATTTAATGTTTTAAAAATATTCAGGGAATTCCAGGTTTAGACGCCCCATGCCCGATCGGGATGGATGGTCTTCCTCTTCCGGGATGTGATTGGAAGATTGCAAACATTGAGCAGGTTGCTGCTTCATTCATAATTTTTGTTTGGTTAGAAAACTGGTTTCTTCATCGTTGCAGTAACAATGCAGCTAACGAATTTCCTACCCTTGGTTATTGACTCGTGCACTCTCATTTGGCTATCATTTGTTGCTGACGGCTGATGAGTCATTTAGTTATTTCCCATTAAAAAATTTCCCAAACAGACTCGCGCGCACGTCAAATTTGCGGCACATACACAATCTGCATATACAAACACACGTACTCACACACGCGCGTGCTCATAAGCGCACATACACAAAGTATCTATTTTAATGAATAAAGAGAAAAGAAACACAATATTTCATCTTTTCTAAAATAATTCTCGTCAGGTTAATGAAGACGACATGGACAACGAAATTCGTTGATCCTCCCAGTCCACTTTTGTTCATGTAGTTTTAATGTAACCTTTGTTCCATGTAAAAACTGGAAAATTGTTCAAAATTGCGATAATGGAAATTTTGTAAAATTTGTTGTTATTAATCGTTGAAGTTTCAAATTTTTCATTGGTAGACAACAAGATAACACGTCAAGTTGTACATTTCTCATTATATAACTTTTTATGGTGTAAACATTTAAACGTTTACATCAAGACAAGATCGTAATGCCATCTTAATAAGTTTGTAATTCTGGGTATTATTCAACGATAACATGCCTTACAATACTGAAAATTTATCTCTCTTTCTTTTTCTCTCTCACTCTCACTCGCGCTCTTTCCCTCTCTCTGTCTCTCTCTCTCCTATTTTTCTTTCTCTGTGTGTGTGTTTCTATTTTTCTTCTTTCTCGTGTATATTATGTTAGATTTCTTAAAACTTGTAAAAATATTTTCATAGGAATATTAAGCGTAGATGATACAATGAATGTCGTGGAATAATTCTTAAATGTTTCAAGGACATGAAACTCCACTCACAATTATTTATCAGCAACCAACTTCGCTGCTTTTGGTTATGTTCATCGTATAAATCTATTGGGAGCGTTTAATTCAATTTCGGTATGTACCTCTGTTTTTGAGTCTTATTTAACTGAATGTATTTATATTAAATATTATAGATGTGTTTATTTAAATGAATTGAAATATGCTTACTAATTACCGTTTAGATATAGATGACTGACAGGTATGGTATATATAATTTTTGTCCAACTAACTACTAAGTAAGATAACCTGAATTTGAATGATTTTTTGTCAAATTCGTAATGGAAGAAAAATGCGTTCATATGGCAATAACGCAACATACACTATCATCTAATTATTTCAATAGCGCACACACTATATATATATATATATATATATATATATATATATATATTTATTTATTTATTTATATATATATATACATTTAGTTATTTATTTTCATTTAATAATTTATTTATTTATTCATTTAATCATCTATTACAAATAAATGTATTCTGGTTTTTGCCTAGGAAGAATGTACCATTGTTATTTGTTGCTAAGTTGTCCATGCCCCACTTCACTGCAATTGATTCGTGACGTTGGTTTATAACTAGTAGTGCTAGGCATTATAGAAATTTTGGCTACTCGAGCGCTTCTGAACATTCATTGTGTGAGAGACGGGTGATCTATCTATGCTAACCGCGTTACTCCAATCAATCAGTCATCACCCCTCCAGAATTATATTCATTTTTATTTATTTATTTATTTGTTAATTATTTATTTCATTCATTTTTATGTTTGTTCACTTGTTTATTTATTTATACATTTATCTGTCTACATAGATATCAATTTTCAATATAATGTCTATTCATTCGTATTACACTATTTATGTGTATATATATATATACATATATTATATATATATATATGATACAGTAATATGCTTTGTATATTGATATATATATATATATATATATATATATATTTGATACAGTAATATGCTTTGTATATTGTATTGTTTATATTATAGATTGGACATCTTTACATAAGGTGTTCAATATTTTTTTTATTTACTTACTGTTCGTAAATTGTGTAAATGTACATATTCAATTTGTGGTGCTTCTACATATTTCGTCTTTGTGCCTTGTCCGTGCAATAAGTTCAGTGAAATTTTTACGGTCACGAAATTGTTTTAACGTTTGTCCAGCTGCAATGTACATCTTACTGTTAATATTTTTACTCTGCTCTTCATTTGCCACGAAACTTTCTTATATCGTTTTCATTAGTCCACAAAATTGTTATTTATTGTCTATTCATTAATGAATAATAAAAAAATAATAATGTTGTTGTTATAAATAAAAAAAAAATTCTTTTCGAAGTTCAAATTTTTCAAGTTCAAATATTAATATATTTACAGTAAATATTGATCAACCAATCAGTTGCCACCGAGCCTTCTAAAAAGGCCGTTTACAACAGGGCTCTGTACTGAGCTCCGTGTGTGGGCTCGTATTGAGGTCCGTTCTGAACCGGTAAGTGGTTTAACGAAACGAAACAAGAAAAAATAAGAGTCTTTCTAGAGTATTCTAAGCATATGGATCATGTTGATAAAGAGTTCGGTAATTAAAATTAGACATGGCGGGAGAAAGAGAAAGAGAGTTCAACTGAAATGAAGTAACGAGAATTTGAAGAAAAAAAAACTCAGTATCGATAAATATTAATGCAAACATAGTGTGAATAAATGACATTTAAAAACATTTGATAAAATTTAACCTCAATAAAATGTATGACATAATAAGATAAACAGGTTTTTAAAAAAGGACTCAGTGCCGATATTGAAAAAACGATACTAAATTGTTTATTTTGTTTATTTTTTTTCAAATATACGCAATTTCTTTAACACCATTTGTCGTTTCATTTTATTCTTTAAAATTTCAGAAATAGCCACACCTTCGTTTTGCGGGATCAGATGTTGCTGTTCCTTTTGCTGTGCGAATGAATCCTGTTCCCACTGGCCTGGAGCCATCAACTGATGCTTTGCTACATCGGAAACATTTTTCTCAGTGGATTTCGGAAACTTTGATTTTTTCAAATGTTTTTCTAGCTGCGATCTTTCCTGCTGCTTCAGATAATCATGCATAAAAAGGGATTCGTCTCGTGCTTTGCTACTATTTGGATGTTGTTCTTTAAAGTTTTTTTCAGTATTGAAACCTGAACTACTTTTTATGACGTCATCAATCATTCCGATTTTTAGTTTCGTCAATCTTTTAGGATTGAAGAATGCCGATTTGGATATTTTAGATATTTGTTCGTTTTCAAGCTTGTCTTCTTTACTGACACTTCCAAAATATTTGTGAGGTTGAAATTCAGCGAAGGACTTGGTAAATGATTTTGAAAAGGGTGTGTGCATGGGAGGTGCTAAATAATCAACAGATTTTTTTGAAATGAGTGGCGCATCAGTGAGACTGCTGCTGCAACATGGCTCCAAATCATCCAGCTTGTAATCTCTGTATATAGTTGACATCTTTCTTCTAATAGTTTCAGTGGTAACTTTCGAAACTTCAATTTTTTGCGGTTTCTTTTTTTTTCTGATGTCGAAACAGTTGATGTAGATTTTATAAGCACAAAATGCAACACACGATCCTCCGTAGCATAACGCAAACAATGGAAGGACTATGTACAACACTATGGGGTCGCTGGCAGAATCCAAAATATCGTTGCTGCTGCTATCCTGCTGCTGATCACCCGTCTGGTTGCCGCTATCTAGATTCATTCAAATCAATTGAATAAGTGAAATAATGCAAGCCGTTATTAATACAAATATCAATCAATAAATGCTGATGAAATAATAATTACTGTTTAAGAAGGGCAGTTGAAAACACACGTAAGGATATTTCTTATCACAAGAAGAAGACTGCCAGAGTTTCGATTTAACATTGATTATAACGCAATTCTCCTCTTGTAAATCATTTTGAATCCAATTAGTGTAATCTTTAAAAATAGACTTCATTTATAAAACTTTATATTAATGCAATGTAAATTATCAAAATGAATTAAACACTTTATAAAAGTTAAGAAATGTTTTTAGTTGAAACAATTCCAACCTGATGATGTAAGGTCATAATCTTTGAGATATGCATCCGTCCATTCCAGCGACTGACCAATGAGTCTCCTCTTCAAGCCAAGCCACACGAACAAACTACTGCAGTTTGTGTTAATACGTTTTAGTCCATTCTATTGCTCTATTTTTTAAAATCTAAAATTTATTCAACATAAAAAACATATTTTATTTTAAAAAAATATGATGTACTCAAATAATTAACTGTGTGAAAGTGCATTTACTTGTTGTATGAGTTTGCAGTAGCGTCCTGAACTGCTAACAGGAGAGCGCTTGTCTTGTCACTTGTATCCAACGATGGTATCTCACCGTTTGATATCACACAAGTCTTCCTGGCTTCATCAAATATTTTAGCATCGTTATAAAACTTGTATATTCTACTGTAGTTCAGCGTTTGGTCTGCAACATAAATAAATTCAAATAAAATACATTTTAATAAACAACTGTTTATAAATTTATTTCATTAGGCTGTTCAATTTTCACTTTCAAAATGATACAAATTTTTAACTTTATTGAAAATGGACAAAACAAGAATTTCTTACCGAGCGTGTAAAAGATATCGTTAGAGTTGAGTCCCCCGCAATAATCATTGTAACATGTTGTAATGCAAACTTGCAATCAACAAATTATTTTGCTTGTTATTAATTAGTATTACTTTTTTAATAAATTTTACGATGATAAATTTATCATAGGACCGTAACACCGGAGTAATTAACAGCAAAGTAGCTTACAGATAGACTTTCCTAATTGTCCATAAGTGGAGCCACATGAACAAGTAGCACCAAGCTGACCACCCGCGTACGGATAACCCTTGCTCTGACAACTGCCAATGCAGTTCTCAACTTTGAAATCCTTCTGGTACCAGGACATTCCTGAAAGATCACCGACGCCATCTCTGCTGGCCGTGTAACACCCCAGGTATTTGTACTTAGTATTATTTACTGTGGGTAGGTTCGTAGAAACAATTTATTTCATTGACATATTTTGAAATAAATATTCTAATAATTACTAGACATATCAATTATATATATATTCATTTGTTCATATATTTATTCAAATTTATAAAATATTGTAAATATATATATATATATATATATATATATATATATATATATATATTTGTGTGTGTTGTGTGTGGGGGGGGGTGTACATGTGGATCAGAAGAACGATGCCAATTGGCCACAAGGATCATGTCACAAACGCGGAAATCAGGTAAAAACAAGACAAATGAATATTAGTGATGTTATTAAGAAAAGGAGATTAAAGTGGGCAGGACAAATGATGAAGATGGAGAACACCTCAGAACAACTGAGAAAATCTAGAAGTATCAACCAGAGGGGAGAAGATTAAAAGGCAAACCTAAAACAAGATGGAACAAGTGTCTTAGTCTAGATTTTGAAAAATCTGGACTATCATTACACGGGAGAACTACTGGAAAAATTAGCGAGTAACACTAGAAGAGATTGCGGAAGACAGAAACGGACGGCGACAAGTCATTTGGCCACTTAGACTGGAGACAACCGACAGAGGAAATAAATAAAATATATATATATATATATATATATATATATATATATATATATATATATATATATATTCATTCATTTATTTATTCATGTTGTAATTTCATAAATTGATAAATAAATTTTGAGACAAAGACATATGAACCTTGAACAAACAGAACATGAAGTAGTATGACTCTGTATAGAAAACGCTTTCCTCTGAAAAATATCATTTCCGTTTGAAAGATGTTAAGCTCTGTAAATATATAAAAAAATGTTTCAAGAACGTTTATTTATTTAAAATTTTGTAAAATTCCTGTCATAATTGTCAAGATGGAACCGTCTTAGATTAACCGTTTATTTTTAAATGGGATTTTCTTCCTCGTTTCTTCAAAAAGAACATGGCAGTTACATACAGAACGTTCAGTTGCTAAGCGGCGACAACAGCTATTTCAATATGAAGTATGCTATGCATCGTATCAGTGCTGAGGAATGTTCATTCAGTCCGGTACAACAGTGCCCGCGCTTATGACTTTTGGCAACGTTTGCAATTTTTCATGTCACTTTTATACTTTTATCGAACCTCTGTTAGATACGATTGTTGTTCCCTTTTTCAAGTTAAACTGACACGATTACACACGCATATACGCAAAGTTATCCACAGACACACACACACACCACACACACACACACGCACACACCACACACACACAAATGTACGTGTGCAAAGATAATAAAAGAATGTCAGTAAATAATGCGTATCATTAACGATTTTATTGATTCGTTGCATTCAGTGGGGATCAATAAAAGGTATAAAGAGGTACAATTTCTATCAATAATCCGCATAGAGCCGCAGAATATTGTACACACTAAACCATCGATTTTTCTTTGCATATGTACAAAAATATATATAATTTTTTTTATTCATTTGTTAATAATAGAGTAATTATTTTATTTATTTATTTATTTATTCAAATTTACTTCTAAACATTTTTTGAAGGATAATAATTTACATAACATACGAAAAATTTATCTAAAGCCGTACACTATATATTACAATGATAACCGGACCATGCACATAAAAACCAATATTATATAAACAAACATACAATCAGTAGTAATCTACATAAAAAAAAACACTATCAATAATAACAACTAACAATAATAACTACAACAATATTAAAAAAATAGAATTCAAGACAACGTTGGAAAACAGTTGACTTAAAGTACGGCGAAGAATTTCTAACAAAAGGTGCAGAAACTTTTTATAAAAACCTTTTTATAAACAGGTTCTTATAAAATTTGGTAGCCTGTTCCATTTATATACCCTATAAAAACATATATTTCTATTGAGTAGTTTGGTTTTAACAATAGATTCTTTTAATTTTTTTTCAAAATTGGAACTCGGTGGTTTTGCCTTGATTTCATATTTAAATGAATTATGTAGATAATTGTCTGATGGTCTTATAGCACTATTAAAAAATCGAAAAATAAAACAGCAGCGTTTAAGATAACAGCAGATTTAAGATAAACAAAAAAAACTTCTATCTATAGGAAGTTCTAGTCTTTTTGTTTTAATAACAATCCATGAGTGTAAAACCAAAGAGACAACTTAAATGCTAGTAAACCAACAGATCTAAAAACATATTCCAAATAATTTGGACAAGAACCACATTTAAAAGCTAGCACTGCAGTTTTAAAATAATTTGTTGTTGAACAGGAAGTCATTATAGAGACCTCAGTCGTTCAGAAATATGATCAGAATTGTGCACATCAGTATGTCTGAGTTCAAATCCGGCTTACCATCCCAAAAATTGTCTCAAACTTTTTCTTACAATTTCAATTAAACACCAATACTTTATGATAACATGAAAAAAACTTAAAAAGCACTGAAAATCCGTTGTTGTGATTCTTTTTTTAGTATTAATATATATTTACTTTAAATTTATGTTTTGGCCCTGTTATACTTTGTTTATCGTTTGTGCCCGGAGTTTTCAGGTATTTAGAGTATTCAAACATTTAAATAGTTTTTTAGAAGATATATTAATGATCAGAGAAAATTTTAATTTTTATAAAACAATCTTATATTTATATTAGTGATTTCAAAATATCTTTGTAATGATTGTTTAAATTTGTTGAAAAGAAAAATATTAGAAACGTTTCTTTTTTACTCACAACAATTAAAAGTCATTTTTGTTATTGATTTCTTATTATTCACAAACTAAAATTTAATTCAAATTGGCACTGTGGTGATAGTTGGATGTCTGTTACATGCGTTCAAGGAATTATGCTTGAAAAAATTAAGTTTCGGAGCGAAACCGAAAACCAAAAAAACCGATATTATTTCAGGAACGAAAACCGAACCGAAATTCGTTTTGCTGATTGAACCGAAAACGTAAACCAAAACGAAAAAAATTACGGTTAGATGCCCTGAATTCACTCTACTCTTCAGATCAGTTCTTTGAAGCTGGCTTAAGTAAACGTGGCGGCAAACACAAAGAGCGTTCTCTTTGTGTATGCTTGGTTTAACAAGCAAATTTCGAGGTAACGATAAGGATAGATTTAAAAGTATTAGACAAATATTTCCAAATTAAATAAACTTTTCACTAGGTATAACTCAGCATTATATAGCCTTCAATCGCTTCAGTTGAGCGTCTTTTTCATTTCAGGAGCTTTTATTCCGACTAAACAGCGAACCCGCTTGTCTGATGATCTGTTTGAGACATAACCGCTCCTAAAGTTAACATACATTCTTTGTGAATTTTAGTGTTAATGTCTGCTTTAAAACGCCAAGCCAACCCGTTTAAAACCTGCATATACGCTACTTTAAGTAAATTAATTCACACTACTATTTAAGAAATAATAATTTGTTATATTAGCAATACCAGAGACAACATTACTATTTCTTAAAACAATTAATTGAATAGTGAATCACATGATGCAATAAAATTTAAGTAAGTCAATAAAAATGGATGACTGGTTCTGCAATTAAATTCATTCATTCATTCAAATTCATTACTGCCAAGCTCGAACTAGGAAAATGAAATGTTGCCAATCTCGCTTCACCATTCTGATGACATCGCTGAACAAATTTACAAAAAATGATAAGTCCCTCTTCTGTTTGTATGCCTTAAACATGCATTATGTCTACGTGTAACACAACACAAGAAAATGGCATGAAACTAATGGTCATTCTCATAATTATATTATGATTTTCAATAATCCAATCAAGCACAAAAACCAGCATAAGTATAAAAATTCAGAGCAAAAGCAAAACTAATCCTACGAGTCGAAAAGTAAGAACGCTACATCCTACTCAATGATGTTCATTAGCGGAAAGAACTTAATGAATCTTCCACATATAATCTTCAAACCAAGTAGACAGTAGACTAATTTTGCAGAAGCGTTCGCGAGATCAATAAGCAACACACAAACAATTCACTCGACCACAAAAATTCACCATTCACTATTGTTTACGTAGACAATGAATTCAATCAAATAAATTATCGTTATTGATCCAATCAAAAATTTACAAATTATTGAACATTCCTCTGCATTTTAAAGAACTTTTAGCAACAAAACATAATGACAATTCTATAAACACAATTCTACAAGTCTTTGTTTGAAATAACGATTAGTGTGTTACAACTTTTAAAGAAACAGGAAATTACGAATATTAAAAAAAAATTATACAAAATTAAAATCCTAGAAAGTAGAAACATTAATATGTACATTCAGATATATGTAGTCACTTAATACTAGCACACCGAACCATTCTTACCAGTTAATTATAAATACACCTTCACAAACGTAAAAACAATTTTTCAGTTAAAACAATGTATCAAGCAAATAGATAAAACATACAAACTGACTGATGGGATTCATAGAAACTTAGCACAAAGTAGCAAGTTGGGACAAACAATGGGAATCTTGATGACTCAGAGGCACGCCAGCCAACATCAAACAGAAAGGGCAGAACAAGTGATATTTGCAAAGGAGCTATATTCATTATTTATTGCCATTTACATTTGTTTCAACTGTTAGAAACAAGCTAACTGTTAAGATATTATTAAATGTCATATGAAATCAGTATGTACTGTACTTTTACAGAGAAACTTAAATAAATATATACATATATATATATTTACAATATTCTATAATTATGGTCTATTACAAACATATATATATATATATATATATAATATATATATATATATATATATACATATACACACACACACACACATATATATATATATAATATACATTATCAATTGCGTTTCACTACATTTCAATTCCTGTAAGTGTAACAGCACCGTCGGTTAAAATTCTGCCTCACCGACTGCCTTCTGAAATACAAAATCTTTTCCTTTCAGGTTCATTATGCCATCCTTCAGGTGAAATTTCCATTTAGCTTTGCTTCTATTTATCTGGAAGGAAGTGTTATCACATTGAAATATATATATATATATATATATATATATATATATATATATATATATATATATATATATATACGCACGTGTCTATTATAATTTAGAATTTATTTATAGTAAGAAATAAAAATTGCCAAAAATGGCACAAGTTGGTGAAACTCAAATATCTATCTAAAATCTTTTTCTATGTAAAGAATATGTCACAGCATAATGTATAATCTAAATGCATCAAATGTAGACAAGAATGCAAATTTTTTCCAAAATTTGAACGATTGAATGAAAAATTGAATAAACGAAAGGAAGACTACAGCAAAAAATCGAGTATGCAACCTTATCAAATTGGCAGACAACTACATTGTCGACATCAAATAAATCTTGCGTGTCGTCCTCGTTTGGGTCATCATCTCCTGAATTTAAAGGATCCTGTATAACATTTTCCGCAAGTTAAAATTCATTTTTCTAAATAAGCTCGAATTAAAATACATTGAGCAGTTATCAATCCAGAAACTTTTCAAAATGTTTACAAATCATTAGAGCTTACCATAAATTTTTGCCACAACGCAAAGATGTGACCACAAATTCAATATCATTTTGAGACTAATAAAATGTTCAAAACAAAAGAAACAATATTGAATTGAGAAGGTTCATAAACATTTTCTGCCATTTAACAATCCTGATTACTGCAAGCAATCAACAAATTATGAGCAAAAATGATCCATTCTAATGTAGAGTAATTCAAAACAATCATAACAGTGAGGCAGACTACAATGCATACATACAACCAAGCGACCTAATGCACAACTAATCATACAATCAAATGAAAGTTGGCCTGAACGAATGAATGAATGTATGAATGAATGAATGAATGAATGAATGAATGAATGTATGAATGAATGAATGAATGATTGTTAGAATGAATGAATGAATGAATTAATTAATTAATGAGTGACTGATAGAAAGAGCGAGTGATTGAATGAGCAATCAGAAGACCGACGTCTTCAACTTCTTCCCCATTCTGTGCTGATGCTTCATTGGCATCATCGTTGTCGTCATCATGCTTGACGTCATCATCCTCATCATCTGAGCTGCTATCATCCAGACCATCTAACTGCACTATATTGTGCTGATTGAATTCAAGCAGTACACATTTTAAACTATAACTACAAAGAAACAATAACGAAAATAGATAGCAAGGTTAAGAACATTAGAGGTAGCCAAGAACAACTTGATCATATCTTAAAACCTAAATTCAACACTTAAATATAGACTGGTGCTACTAAAACTCTTCAATAATTTTTACATGTATCCACAACACACACACACAGTGCATGTAAACACACGTGAAACAAGGCATCACACACATTGTATGTGATAGGCGGGGATCTCTCTACAGTCAAATCCAGTCAATACAAGAGAAGTGCCAGGCACTTTACCATTACCCCATCGCATATGTATATGTATGAGTGTAACTAACTGTGCCAGCATTGTCGATTGTGACCCCATTTTGAGGTGTAGCATTCGTGGCAATTGGCTGGTCACTCAGTCCGAATATGATGTTGTTCTGTGATTGGATGAAAGAAGCTCCCCCTATGGTTTCATACAAATTTTTCAACCAATTATAAAATGATTTGCAACATTCAACTGAATTGAAAACTAATATGGAATTCATGCCAATTGTATTGTATTGTATTGTAGAATTTGTATAGCGCTTCTTATGAGTTTACTTCAGGAGTGCTCTCTTTATTTCTTATTTCCTTTGCTGCAGTAAGTTGAACAAATTGTTCTTCAGACGTCTTTTGAAGTCACCTCAACTCATGATATTGAATATTTTCAAATTAATGATATGTAAGAATGTAGCTAGTATAAAACTGATAAAGGCCAAATAGAAAAAAATTACAAATAAATACTTTTATAATAATTAATATAATAAATTAGTGTAGCAAACCGAGGGCATTGAGATTGTTGAGATGTTGCAAGAGGACTGGATTCAAAGACTGGCTCGTTGACTGGCCTGCTAGGTGAGCCTGTATGTTTAAATTAATGAATGATGTGCAGTTTGTTTGTTTGTTTGCTGCTGCTACTATCAAAAATGAATTCATGTGTTGTTTGTTATCACTATTAATATTTAAATTTAGCAAATTATTGCGTATTTGTAAAAAAAAAACATTACCAAAATTTATATTTAGAAATTTTTTTGAATAAACATAATCAAAAACTTTGCGAAATAAAACATATTCTTATAAAAATATTTTGGTAACACAAAAAAAAGTATTAATTCATTATTGTCAATTTTTAAAGGAAACAAATAAAACAAACATTAACCAAATGACTTGGGCCAAGATTTAAGACAGAACCTGCTTGTGCTAAAAATTTCAGAAAATTTCAGAAATAATTTTCTTATAAAATATTTTTTAAAATTCAAATATGAAACTAAAAAAAAACGATAACAGATAAAAATGAAACCTTGCAAATTTGTTAGCTGTTGAAGTTGTGAAGGAGATAAAGATGTGATGCTGTTGTTGTTACTGTGGTTTGGGCTGTTGTTGTTGAGAATGAGTTGTTGTGTGGGGTGTAACGTTCTGGTCTGATGATGTGAGTGGGCCGGTGGAGGCATTCTTGTTGCTGTTGTCGATGAGCCCAATGGACTTTCTGACATCAAGCCATCAATTGCTTTTGACAGTTTTAATTTGTTTTCCCATAACTAAGTTGTTAAAACGTCAATAACAATTATACAACTAATGAAAAAATTAAATGAAAAACTTAATGAAAGTTTAAAACCGAAGATAAATTATTTGGAGTTTTATGCCAATAATATCATAATAAAAATCACACACCTTAAAAATTATGTTTCATCAACTGAAGTAAAGAAATAAATTGCAATGACATGCTGTCAATCACAAATATATAAATGAACCTGTTTCAACTCTTGAAGAACTTGCTCATCAAGTCCTTCCTCTTGGAATGCTTCCCTAACCCCATCGATTACGTCATTCACTACACCTTTGTAAACATCAGCCTAAACAAATTGAATCAAAAATTAGAAAAACAATCACATGAATTGTTTTCTCATAAAGCTTAAAAAAGGAATAGGATGGATCAAGCAATTTGTGATCTGTGATATCTTTGGATCAGATTGCATATCCAGAACTTGGATTCATACAAATTTAGATCCTGGTAGATTGAAATCCGAATGGCACATGCACTTGAATTAATTGTGTGGTTTAAAAATCAAAAATATTGATGAGATAAAACTCCATCTCACTGACAGATTCAATAAATATTATTTGATGTTTAGGTAATAGTGAAGTAGTAGCAGTAGTAGTTAAAATAATAAACAATGTTACTTAGGGCACTAACAATTTAAATTTTGTTTACCATTCCTTTTTTCTACTGAATTGATTTTATACTCACTTAAATTAAAATCTTATTGTTATTTTTTTATTCCTTAATCACACTACACTAACATTGAAAATCTGTTAAAAACTTTGTTTCTCTTTTTCTCAAATTGCTTTTCAAGCATTGCAATGTCATACAATTATTATATTATATTAATTTCAAACATTAAATAAGCTGTATGGCTAGTAAAATTCACCATGCCCAGCAACTATTGTACTTTATCTTATACAGTATACGAATATTCTTAAAGAATTCTTATTCTCAAAGAATTCTTATTCACTCATTAAATTCTTATTATATTGTGTCATAAATCCTCTTTTGTTGAGTTGTTTATTGTGTCTGACATCCTTATTTGTCACATGATTTGTGTAGCTAATTCACATCCTTCTTCAACAAGCCATTTACTTTTCTCTTGTAATTTCTCAGAACAAACATTTAAAGTTAGCACCTTAAACTTCATTTAGTTACGTAAGTCTTGTTACTTGGTAGTTCCTTCTAAGTATATTTTAAGATTTCTTTTAAATTCTTCTTCTGTATCTGAATCACTCCCTAGATATGTAAAGCCACAAAGTTTTATGTTCATTGTCAGTCGGTCTGATTGTCATGTTTAAGACTCAAAAAGATATAATTTTTACTAAGAAATTGCATTGACAATAATATCTATCTTTTCTTACTTTATCATTATTCTATTCTTTTTCAATTAATTTTAACTGACAAATGCTTTTATGATGAGGCAAGCAAGTTGTTAATGTTTGTAAAAAAATTTTAAAACTTGATCTAGTTCGTTTAGTTTAGGTCAGGATATTAAAATAATTACAAATAAATACTAAAGAAAAAACTATAAATAAGCATAACTTTGTACAAATTATTTGAAAAATAAAAACTTAATTTTACTTGTCTTAAATTGAAATGAAACCAAAAGCAAAAGAACAGAAAAGAGCAAACTAAAAAATATAAAAACAATTACTATGACTGTCAGTCATAGTGATATAAATATTATATTATAATAAAATTGTTTTTATATTTTTTAGTTTTAGTTATTTTAGTTGACATGACAAGATAAATTTAATTAACAAACAAATGTAAATGAATTAAAATGATATAAAAATAACATTATTGATAAACTTCAAAGTTCGGTTCAAACTGAAACCAATCAATTTTAATAATTTAATTTAAAATTTTTAATTTTTAATTGAACTCAGGAACGCGTAATTAAATAAAATATTTTATTAATACCCACCACACTTGTACTTTTGGCTTGAGACATAATTTAATTTCTGCTTCGAACTTTCTTCAATTAAGCTACAATTGAACTTATTTACTTATTTTTAATTTAATTTTAATCCCTGACAAACAGGAAAAGATCGAGCCACACTCGAAAGTCTGGCAATGTAACTTATCACCAAACTCGCCTTATATAAAAGATTTTTTAGATAGCTGAATGGACCAATGAGTATACAAGAATAGCAAGAAGCGGCGTTGAGACGGTAAAAAAATATCAAAAATATATTGGAAAATTTTTAATGCATAAATTTTAATAGTTTAAATACCTGTTCTATAATTTATAATTGAACTTTTTATAGAAACATTGAAATAAAATTACTAATTAGGCAAAATTTAATTCTAATCCTCGCATACACCTACCAAACGTTATTTATAAAATGTCGACACTTACGGTGAGCTATCTCGGAACATATAAAAGCAAAAATCTGTCTGTTGTGATACGCTAGGTTCGACGCAAGTTGAGTATAGTGAATAAAATTGATTTTTTATATATACGTTTGATTCCGTTTGCTTATTATTGCTTCTGTTATTATTTGACAAAACCCTCTAATAATCATAAATCAAGCCACTTAAATTATAAAGAAAGATTATTATACAATATATAATGATGTATGTGTTGTGTATGTATACCAGTATACTTCCGTGTTTTATATGTGTGTGTCTGTGTAATATATGTATATATCTTTTAATATTTTACTATGTAAGTATATAATAAGAAATACGTCATATGCATACTGAAAATTTAAGTGTAGATATATGTATTTTTCTTTTTTGGTCTCTGAATAATTTTTCATTTCATTTGATTAAATAAAATATGATTTTTTCATTTGATATACGAGTAAAGCCAGTTAATCGAACCAGATTTGGTTGACATTGACCAAACCATCTAAACATAGATTTGACTTTTTTTTAAAGATATGATGTGCCATTTCAAACCGATAATAACTTATGTAATAGTGTTTATTACAAAGACAGTTAATCAATCAATTCAATCAATCAATCAATTAGCTTATAAAGCGCTATTTCCGCGATGTTCAACAGCGCTCCTCAATGAATTTTGAAAACAGATGGGTCTTGAGATCCGCTCTGAACTTCGCAAGGGATGGAGAAGTAGTCAGAGAAGTAGGTAGAGAGTTCCAGAGAAACGATTTAAAAATTGCTTTGTTGAATTTTTTTTAAAATATACTCAGGAAGATTGTTTAGCGGCATTCATACATTTTAACATATAATAGATTGTACCATGCATTTAAAATTCACTGAACTTTACAGAATAGCTTAATTTTAATGCGCTGAATAGCCCACTAAAGATGCATGCATCATAAGCTATGTGTAACCTGCAGGATCTGAGAAAATCCATTTAATGAAAAGTCACAAAAAAGCTTAACTTAAACTGATTTCACTGGCCTTGTTACAGAGGTATTCCTCGTGCTTGCAGATGAAACAATTTTTGTTTGGTGAAATAAAATTTTGTTTATTAATGTGTAAAAACTAATGGGTTCCGTCGATTTTATTAAATTTATAATTTGTGACAAATTTTCGATTTGCGTAAGCTGATCCGTTTAAATTACAGTTTGCAGAATTCCGCTAATTCGATTTTTTACTCTATTTATAACTTAAAGATGAAAATAACAGTGGCTCAGCCTCATATTAATTTAAATGGAAAACAATAAAAAGGTGCAAAAATTTGAAAAAAAAATTAAAATTCTGGTAAAGGATTTATTCAATAATTGGAAAAATATTTGGCTCTATGGTTTTATTAATTTATTATCACTATTATTTACTGGAACTTGAAAGGTTTAACCTAGATTCTAGAAGCAGTTGTTATCAAGATAAAACAAAATCTTTGTCGGATTGATGAAAGAAGAATAAATATTAGTCTCGACAGCATATATGTATTTTATTTATTAATAAATAATATTAATTTACTTAATTTAAATTTTAATAATAGTATATATGAAGTACAAAAAGAAGAGGTCTAATGTTGATAAGATGTAGTTTTCAAAAAAAATTAAAACTTATTTGTCAATCTCTTACTGTCAATCTCGATGTCGAAATCAGGAGAAGCGTTGTTTTGTGAATATAGCATCACTGAAATTGGATCGTCCTAAATATTTGGTTTTGTGTAAAAAACAGTTTCGATGAATAACGATAGAACTTTCCCCAAATAATGGTAGTTTTCACGCCTTAAAGATAATACAATAACATACAAAGAATATGTGGAAAGCATTGAATGAGACAATCAAGATCTTGAAACAGTTCATGAAATTGATGTCGCGATTCATCTTTGCGTCATCCGTCAGCCCTGCTCAAGTTTGGCAACATACGGCACTCGATTTAAATAAGAATCGCGACATTAATTCCATGAATTGTCTCATTCAATGCTTTCTACGCATTCTTTGTATATTAATGTATTAACTTAAATAATAATAACAACAGATAATAATAATAACAATAGATTTTTTACCCAGATTGAACCAAGTAATCAAGAATCTGTGTTAATATCACGTTGTTGATGATCTCGTTCGTGGTGAATAAAAGAAGTGGAGTAATTCAATCGTGATTTGTTATTGAAACAAAATTTATACTCGCGTCGCAACAACATACATAACATTTTAACAAATGAATAAATTCCTAAGAATTATATAATTGACACATATTCAACAAATAAGGATTGCTAATACACATGAAAACATTCAATTGAATGACTATCAAAATAAAGACATCGTATGCAGGTGAATGATTAATCAATAGACATTACGTATATATGACAATAGTGTAAAGTACAAGCACGTGTACAGTACAGTGAGGTACCATAAAAATTAAATCCAATCATTCGTCGGATACACGCAAAAAATAAATTAAAAAATAAATACACTGATCATTTATTAAGGGCTTGGTTTGCAAGAACGCACACCTGCATGCAAGCACTTGTATAGGCATGTATATCATTGCAAATGATATATATATATATTTACACACTCAAACATAATTTATATGGATACGCACACAAACATACACATATGTGTATGTGTGTGTCCTCGTGCCCGCGTTCGTTAGTCCGTTAGAAAATTTGTACAACGTTTAAATGGATGACCAAAGTTTCATAAATATGTAAGTACACACATTGTGACAGATGTTAACTTGAACATAATGTCATCAAATGAAACTGACTACAATTAAATAAATGATAATCTAGGAAAGTTTCAAGAAAAGATACAAAACAATTCGAATTGCCATAGTCCACAAAATCACACACACACATATATATATATATATATATGTGTGTGTATATATAGGTGTATATGTGAGGAAAAAAGTTTTTGCTAAAAGAACGTAAAATTAAACCTAAATCTGAATGAATAAATGAATAGTAAATTTAATATCTGATGTTTTCATCACAATTTAATTTCAAATAGAAAAATGTTTTCATCGATGATTTTCAATTAAAATCACGCTGGCGTGACTAGTTCGTGGATTATATGTGCTCTATCATTGAACTTACAAGTGCTTATGATCATATAGAAAATATCAACTGACTGACGTATCATCTCTTTTCTTTATTCTCGCGATTGTAATATGCATGTGGTGGTTGATTATTATTAACATTGTTAGCATCTGCTCCAAAAGTGCGATCATCTAGCTGGCCCAGCTGGTTCTTCATTCGAATGAGGGACAATCTCAGATGGTCTACCAACTGTATCGTCGATGACAAAACGTTCTTCCATTCTTTAATTTCTAAACTAGTTAAGATTTTCTTATCTGCCTCATCAGATTTCGTCCAATCATTTCCAATCACATTCTTCATCAGCTTTTCTGCTAAGCGAGGCTTTTTCAAAAGGTCCTCATAAACATCCCTGCACGTATTTGAGTTACATTAATCGTGAATTAAAGAAAAATAGAAATAAAGTTAAATAAACTTAGTAAATTAACATTTCAAAACATAGAAATTGGAAACGTTAAGACCTTCTGTATGAAAGAGGATTGGCAGTCATTGAAGATGATAGTGACGATAGGAGATCGTCATCCTGACTGCCTCCCACTTTCGACTTTAACATGTTCGTGGCTGACTTCTCTAACGACCAGAGTTTGTAGAAAAACACAGCATTGAAAAACATCAAAACAACCAGTCTGTTGGCAATTCGATTGTTAAATTAAGAGATAATTGTACGAGTAAGAATATTCAGCCCTGTGTGTAAAAACTGCAAATGTAAATTAACTCATGTGCTAATTAATGTTCAAAGCAATAAATAACATATACTTTATATACACACTATATCGGAATCGTTAAAAGTGGAATACACAAAATATAGACGGCTCAGTTATTTAACATAAGTGTCCATATCACAAATAGACAGAAAATTCCAATTATCGTCTAACAAGTTAAATGAATATTTTTTTTAATTAAATAATATTTTTTTAGTTAAATAATATTTTTTAAAATCTTTTAAAATGATGATAAACTAACACAACGCAAACGAGTCTGACGAGAACATCCATGGTAAACTTAGGGTGATCAGCTAGCGTAACATAGCTAGGTTTTGAGTCAGTGTCTGTTAATGAATTGAAATTAAAATTAGTGAAACGTTTAAATATAATTAACCTTTAAAAGGTGTAACAAGTCACATGCTAAGAGATCAAACAATTATAAATGATGCTAGATAAGTGAAATTTTATTGATTCATATCCATTTAACAGCTTTGAAAAAAAATTTACAATGATCGTGCATCTATAAAAAGTGGGTTAAATATTAAACAAGTATGCACTGGAAAGACGGAACAAAAGGTTGAATACTTTTAACAATGGATGAAACATGAATAGATGCCTGCTTGTGAACAGGCGCCTGGTCAGCGACAGGAGATGATGGAGTGACACTGGATGGACCGACGCCATTTTCCACTCCAGCATTCTCTCCCACCACCCTCCTTCTCCTCAAAAAATTACGCTGCTTAAGAGACGGTGATTGAGATAGACTGATCAAATGGCGGTCAGATTCCAAACGTAACAGGTCAGCTGGTGGTTGGTGGGAAAGATTAATATTTAATGAGTCAAGAGAGGCAATTTAAACAGTGAGACTGAATGAAAAATTGAATGAGATTAAATGATAAAAAAATTATTAAAAAACTAAACGTTTAAAAAAATTAACATGCAATTTAAAAATAATTAATGCACTTTGTTTTTGCAGCGTAACGAAATAATTTATTGTCGTTAATTTATAATTATTATCAATATTTTGCTTAAATCAACTATATCAGACTCTCAGAAAGCAAAAATGAAAAGATAATTTATAGCAAATTTAAAAATTTTATGAAACCTTGAGCGTCTTACACAAAAAGCCCCATTGTAAATAATACAGAATAATGTAAATGATATAGAATTCAAAGAATGAGTTTTTATTCAAATTGAAATTATAACTGAAGTAAACTTAACATAGAGGACCAAAAAACCATCAGACCAACGTTACGAACCTAACACACTGAATGTTGATATGATACCCGCTGTAACGTTTTTCTCAAGAAAATCTAGAACAAATATTATAACGGCCAATATAGAAACATGCATTAGGAAAATTATGATGACAGACAATATTTAAAATTTCATTCATTCTTAAATTTTCATTTATTCTCATTCAAGTATAGAAAACTCTAATTAAAAATCACATGCTAACTTGACTGTTCAGCAATGTAAACCACACAAAAAATTATCGATAGTCATTCTCATCTGTTAACTTTAAACTTAAAATGAGTTTATCATTTCTTAAAATCTACATTTTCAACTCTCCTCTTGGCACGAGTACTAAACATGCATGTGTACATAGTACATTTGTGCTAAACAGCACAGTGCAGAGTTCCAATAAGACAATATTTGTTCTCAAAACCGCATATAAATATATCATATTTGTTTTCATAATCTATCTCATAATTTATCACGATCATCATCAAAATCATCGTCATCATCATCATCAGCAGCAGCAACAACCACAACAACAACCACATTATAAATATCATCATCCTCATCATTCTTGTATAGTATCACGTGAGGCATACTTTTGATGAAGCCCCATACATTCTTCTTGTAATTAATCTGACTTGTAATCTTTAGTCTGCTTCTTTTATCTGATAATCTAGACAAACAGTACCTACAAAAAAAATAAAACATCATAGATAAAAATAATAGTTATTAAAATAATAAAAATAATAATAATTTAATTTAATTAATTAATAATAATGTAGGCAATAATATGCAATATCAGCCAAATGGTGTATGCCCTCATGGTGAAAGCAGTGATGATGATAATAAACATTAAAATGACAAAACAGCAATGATCCGCATATCGTAAAAACACACATACAAACACACATATGAACAGGCACACACACACACACACACACATCTACAAACATACGCAAAAATAAATAAATATCGCTGAAGTCACTTGACAGCTAATGAATTCAATCCATTAACTGCCATTTAACCAAAAAATAAACAACTAAATGAACAATCTTATTTAACCATCCAATCAAACAACCAACCAACCATCTAATCAAACAACCGACCAACCAATGAAGCATCGAACCGCCAAACCATAGTTCCAACCGCTCAATAAAGCAAGTAACCTGTTGGTGATAAAAAAGTTCTCTCCGTATGGAATGCCTTCGTTGACACACTCACAATCGATGAGGTAGAAGCGGCCTGGCTCTGATTCCGTGTGCATCACCTTCAGAGAATATTACCCCGATGAATGTGTTATAAATATCAATTACATAAAAGATTATTACAATGAATCCCAAATGATAATAGCGTAATTAATAAATTATCTCCGTTTATCAGTTATGTTCACCATGGCAGTGTCAGATAATAAATCATGACAACAGATAAAATTACAGTATATGTAAAACAAGCCAAAAACAACAGCAACAACAACAAATAAACAAAAAAACCAACTTGTTTTTCAGTAGATGGCGAATGTTTGGGACCTATGCTGAAGTCAAGTGTGAGTGTGTATGAGATGTTCCTGACCTTTCTGCCTTTTTCATCCAGCTCTTCTGACCAGGGGTTCAATGAAACGTCTAATTGATCATTATTAAAGTTACGTTACTATACTGCATGTTTTGTGCTTTATAATGAGGCAAATGGGAAATTAAAGTTAAAATAAAAACGTAATATTTCAATGTTGATAGTCATCTTAAGTAAATTGATCAACATTTGAATGCGGATGTAGGAAGTTATCAAATGTTTTGCATTGCATCCTAAATTTTATCCTTTTATTCATTAGAACCAAATTCAAAAAAATGAATTTTACAAATTAATAATTTCATACTGAAAAATGAATCAACATAATAATAAATATCAAATTTTGTAAGAAATTAAAATAATTAATAACCAAAAGTCTTCTTGGTTTTGATGAACTCTCTGTATATCTGAGAATCTGAGAAGACATGTTGAAAGACATCATCGACAGTCAAATCATAGGCCTCGTCCAACACATCAATGCTGAAGTGAGAATGCTTTGAGCAGTAGTCAACTGTTCAGTAAGAGCATTTAAATAAAAGAAAGAAAATGAAGAACTTGATTTAACTAATTGAACAGTTATATAGAGATATATAAAATTATCGTAGCTTATATATAATTTAAATAATTGAGAAACTAACCAAGATCATCCCCACTGGAGCTCTCTTCATCCTCGCTGCCCTCACATTCCCTGTAGTCTGCATCTCCCTCTTCCTCCTCCTCCTCGTCATCCTTCACCACATCAGCAGAACAACCACCATCATCATCGTTGAAGCTCTCAACGTCATCATTTAATGTGGTGCTGTTGACGATGCCGTTGCACGTTGGAGATCTATTCGATGAGGTCGTAGTTGTCGTTGCCGTAGATGCTGCTGCTGACAAATCTAATGCCTCCTGTTGCAAAATTCCAGAATTAAACTTTCAATGAACAAGTTTTACTAATGATATTTTTGCTTAACAACAACAACAACTCGTAAAATGATGACCTTGCATTTATTTCCCACTGAATCCCAACATCTGCAACACTTTTATAAAGCTTAACTTACCAGCAAGCATATGAACTGATTTTGCAATGCGTGACCAAACAAACAAACATTCCAAATAAACACAAAAACAAACAAACAAACCTTTCCTATTTCAATTCCTTGATCCTGTCCCATCTCCATCTGTAGGTATAACTGAAACCTGTTCTTGTCATCAGACGTTAGAGGCACATAATCTTCATCATCAGATGTCAATGCTAGATCATCTCCATAATAAAAATGCACCCAGGACCAAAACTCTGGCTTGCTCATGAGCTATGAAATGATATCAGTCAAGTGACTTGATGTTTGAAACAATATAAATAATCTCCTCACGGTCAAATGATCATTAATAATTCACTGAATTCAAAATGATCATTAGCTTATTTTGTTGTTGTTTCAACAATTGCCAATAGGCGGATGTTAATTATTTAAAAAGATGACAATGATAACAAAAAACACGTTACATCATAAAATATTGTGTTAGCCTTATGTGCTTATGTCAACGAAATGAGCAATATCATTTATGAATAACATTGTACAAGTGAATAATTTAAACTAACCTTGTGAAAAATACAACTTTTGTAATAACGCTCTAATTGAAACCACACTGATTAGAAGTGTATTATCATCACCAACATCTACATGAACAACAAACCAACAACTGACCAATCCATTAACCACAGACCAACAACTGACCAACCCATTAACAACAGACCAACAACAGACCAACCCATTAACAACAGATTAACAACTGACCAAGCCATTGGAAGCATTCCTTCTGACAAGATCCAGTTGAAGGAAGACCTTATCCCGAGAACCGAATGATGCGAAGAAGTACTTGTCATCCTTGGTGCAGATCTGAATTGCATTTGGAATCACTCGAGCCGTTTTCTCTTTCGTCAGTTTTGTTATGTCTTTGCATCGTATTATTACCTACGTTAACAGCAATGATCACCACTTAGGTCACCACATCACAAAAAGGACAACAAAACTAAAAACAATATAGTGATTGAAGTGGATGTTAAGCATTCATCCAGCTAACTTAGAAAGTTAGAATAACTAGTTGTGGCATACTTAAGTAGGAATCATGAGTCAAATTTTAAACAACTGAACAATTGATCCAAAACGTCAAAACGCACCACAGTTTCCCATCTGAAGATGTTGGCATAGAAGCATATCCATGATTGGCTCAAGTACATACGACCTTGTATCAAGATATCTTTCTGCAGGGCACATGAGTAATCTGAATTTTGTTAAATTTCACTTGTTATAATTAATGAATTTATAAGGAAAAATTTGGATTTTTTGAAACCTAACCATAAATTTATATTCAAAATAACTTAAAAAATTAACTCTTCATTTAAATAACCTTGAAATTTGTTCTAATAATATGCAAATCAAGCAAATTTAAATAACAAAATTTTTAAAAACAGACATCCATCCACTGAGCTGTTATGACCAGCACATCAGCACAATGACAATCAGCACACAAAATGATAAGACAAACGAGATAATAAATAAATAAATATATATATATATATATATATATATATATATATATATACCGTAATTTATGAAATTTATGGATAGTATTTTATTACATCTCTCAACGTTTCTAACCAAATTCTTGTGTCATTATTTATTTTATTAAAGTTAGAATAATATACAGTTTTACATATTATACATTCTCTGAGTGTATAGGACCTAATTCGAATTGTCAATCATCTTCAGCACTTGTAGCAGTTCATATATTAAACAATCTCAAATTTAATTTCTATGAATATTTATTTTTATGTTCTTAGCCACCACATTTTATGTATATATAAACATGTAATATAAACGAATAAATGTTTGGGTGCACAATTTACTTAAACGCCTAGTTTTAATTGTATGTACATGTACATATTTTATTTATTATAATTAGTTGCATTATAAGAGTTGCATTTTGGGGGATGTTACCATGGTATCATATGCTTGATTTGCTTGTACATATTTTACTTATTATTATATATCATATTGTTGGCTCATTGGATTTTGATTATATCCTCTTGTTGGGGGCGTAGGAACGTTCAGCTCGTGCCTTTTAATAATAAACTATTATTATTATTATTATTATTATTATTATATCAGATTCAAATAATCAGCATAAGAATTAAATGAAAATGTTGTCATAATCTTTGGGTATATGTGCACATTGTTTATATTAAGTAATTTACTTGAACTCTGCATTATATAGTTGCATTTTCAAGGAGGGTCATGACAACGGATTTAAACAACTAGCAAACAAACATCATTAAAGTAGGAAGAGAGAAGAAAGAAGAACTGACCAACAATGAGTCGCTCGTCAGCAGGCAGTGCCTTGAATATCCTCTTGAAATCCTCACTTCGTGATTTGTACGAGGGACTGAGCACCTGAATACCAAGCAATCAACATTGTAAATAAAAAAATTAATTATGTAATAAGCAAGCAAACCGATAGATAATGTGGTGTACGTCTTCAACTAAACACCACCATCAAAACTAAAGCCAAATGAACGTGTGTTACCATAAAGGCACAAACACATATTTACAATAAATACATTATATGTAATGTTTCTAACATATAGAAAAATCTCCTTTTGTAAATTATTCTAATGTTCAAAAATAATAACAGCACGAATAAAATACTATGGAGGTCAGCGTGTGAGCATGATTGGAAGTTAATAGTGATACATATCGTATCCCAAAAAGTCAATTTGAATTTGAAAAAAAAAACAAGTAAAAAGCTTGCTCAGTTAAACATAGAAATGAAATAAACGAAAAACATATGTAATATTGTAATGCATTAGCATTAGAAATATCTATCAAAATTAAATACAAAATATTTATGAAAAAACATTTATTTATTTATTATGATGAAATCACCTATACTGAAAATTTGTCTAATTATATAGGAGACTAGAGTTAATTATTTTTAAAGCCATGTTAAATACAACAAAGGATTTGAAAAACATGAAAAATTGTTTGCTCAGACATCAAACCAAAAAGAATCAATCAAATCCATTTGTCTATTTCAGGGCAGAGATGAGCGATTGTACTTGTAACATGAATGTTCAAGACATCAGCATGACATGCAATTTCATTAAATACTCAAGCTAGCAGTTTTAAAAATCAGATGGGTTCTAGGTAAGAACTTTATAGAAAGACTTATTGTTTAAAACTTGTTTGTACCAAACAGGGATGTGTATGTTAGCATGACTAATTAACATAAAACAAAGAGGTCATATAAACAAATTGTTCTTTGGTCTAATTTCCTTGAATGACAGATACCCAGTTAAACAAATAAACATTGTTTGTTAGCAGTAGAACCCCAAAATTAATATTAACTGAATATTCAGTAAATGACCCGTAGGAAATATTTCAGATATAATAAAATAGATAAATGTAAAATATATGCACAGCATTCAACTAGAAATAACATTTAAAGAGTTAGTTAGCAGTTAGTTTCGTATGATAACTACATGTAATCAATATGTACATACTAATTATTTTTGTAGCACAAAAACACTGATCGTAAACTATGGCAAGCAAAAACACCCACAGCTTCACATAAACAAATGTTGACAGAGTTCTAAAGATATATTAATGTTAAAAAATAGAGAACACAAATTTAATGTCATGAATTTGGAGACTAATATGAGATGATGGTTTGCTTTCCAGCAGATTAGGGTTGGCTTGCCATTTAAATATACGTACATATATGTACATTACACACACACACACACACACACACACACACACACACACACACACACACACATATATATATATATATATATATATATATATATATATATATATATATATATATATATATAGTGGATTAAGACTGTCAGAAATGCAATTATAGATGAAAATCACAGCATGTTCAGCGTTAGTTACAAAGAATGTACAAGCTGGCGCTATAAAGAATCACATGAAAGAGAAACACAAAACTAAAATTACTAGACAAATCTTAGACCACAATGTTGAAATCTTACATTACAATAACAACTATAATAATTTACGACTAGCCGAATCAATACTCATACAACAAAGACATCCATAATAAATATTCAACAACGGGCAATTGGAATTCTTCCCACTAATAAATTTATAAATAGAGGAATCATCCATAATATATATATATATATATATATATATATATATATATATATATATATATACCTAAAATATATATATTTGATTTGAGCATCTGGTCACATATACAACAAATCAATTCGAACACTTAAGACTAAAAAAGCTTTTTTGTTTTATCATGCATATAATAAAAAAAAAAATTTTGGTTTAGAACTAAAGAAACTTGAAAATGATTTCTGATCAACAGTTAGAAAAATCGAAATGTTAAATTGGAAGTTAACTAACGCCGAACATGCTGTGATTTTCATCAATATATATATATATATATATATATATATATATATATATATTTACAATATTTTATAAATTCTACCGAATGTTTGGCGCCAAACATTCGGTAGAATTTATAGAATATTGTAAAAATTATGGTCTATTACCAACATATATATATATATATATATACACATACATACATACATATATATACACACATATGTATGTATATATATATATATATATATCAAGGTAGATATACTGGTACAAATATTAGTATAGATTCATAATGCCTTTGTTCAAACAAAGTCAAATTATTTTTTGAATATGTTAATGATTGAGAGACAGCTAGATATAGATATGATCAAACTGTCGTTAATCCAAATGATTAAACGAGAAAAAAATTAAATAATTATATACATGTTCATTTTAAGATGAATTAAGTTAATAATAAATAATTTTAAAATCAAAATATTTGAATAGTTAGTCAGTCAGTAGTATTTGAAAAAATAATTACATTAAATATTAAATAGTCATCAAGCGAAATCAATAAGAACATAGAAGCATTGTACACAGTTTGATTAAATTAATTAATTAATTAATAGCAATATATAAACACATCACAAAGCCCATCAAGATAAACAGCTTTAACTACAAATAGCTGAATCACACAAATCCTTAACCAGATTAAAATAAAGAATCATTATTAATAAAAATGTCAACAACGACAATTTAACGAATGAATACAATAAATCACTCAACTCTCAAGCCAAAAGGACAAACTTCACACTTGAGTGAAGCACAAAAAATGAATGACACAGCAGTTGAAAATACAATTAAAACACAACAACAACAGGAAAATTACTAACCAGTTTCTTGTGCTGTCAACAGAATGAATAAATAATATTACATATGTTGTATATGTATATAACATTATATATATATATGTATGTAAATATATATATATACATATATATATATATATATATTATGTGTGTGTGTTTTTGTTTATGACTGATACAAACAAAACAAAAACACGAAAATAGAAAATACGATGGAGGCAAGACATATTTCATCTGGAAGATCAATGAACCAAAAAAGTTATGGAAAATTGCAAAAACAATATTCATATTATTCAAAATAATAATAGCTTTTTATGTGACCTTTGTTTTGCTACAACGTGATTCAAAAGTTTACATACCTATTTTGAAAGTTACCTTTTTAAAACTATTATTGAACACGCTCTCTTTCTCTATCTCTCTCTCTCAAACACACACAGGCACACACACTCACGTACACATCACCTGTATCCCTTAGTTATCATTTGCTCACCGACGTGGTTCAAGTACCTTACAAAGAGCATTTACTGTTATTAATATTTCGCATAATGTTTTCAAGTGAAAGATTCAGAAAGTACACACTTAATATCTGACTGGCAAAAGTGTTGTGAATTATAAATAGTTTGTCGTGAATTAAGAAGTATTCGTTGTGAATTATGAAGTATTTTTTGTGAATTATGAAATATTAAAATATGAATTAAAATGTGAATTATGAAGTATCATAATAATTGTAGTTAATTATGAAGTTTTTGTATATGTTATGAACCACTTTATTTGTTGTCAGCAACAATGAATAAAATTAGGCAATCAGAAAACTTGCATACCTTTTATTTAGCACATGAATGATTTTATATTGCATTTAAATAAGGCTTGAAACACTTGACTTTGAAAAAAGGTTTAGTTGAATGTTAAAACAAAGCGAAAATAATTTCATTCTTAATAAAGAAATATTTTATTATTAACAGAAATTGATGATGACTTAATTGAGCAATTCTTCAAACTTAATATATACATCTCTAACTTGAGAGGCTTAACCTTAGAAAGACTCGTATTAAAACTTTTCTCCGCTCAACTAGCTCAAAAATATGTAGACAGACTTGCAGAACAAATTTATCTGCCTCACAATCCTTTATTACAATCTTATATGAAAACTGGCCTCCCTCTCTCACCATTGCAAAACCATTTAATAAAATCTCCAATGCTATTCATAAATAAATAAAAGTGGAAATTGAAGATGTAACCTATAAGTGTAAATATGTAATAAAAAAGTAAAAACGTAGAAGATGCAACATACATTATACCATGAAGACGTTTTCTTTTTCTTCTCAAGGCCAACTTTCCCTGATTTTCCAGCAGAACCATCACCGCCACTTTTGCTGCCACTTCCACTTGATTTGTGGTGGCTTATTTTACCCGGACTTGAATGATGATGATAATGGTGGTGTTTGTGGTGGTTGTGAGCTTTTGAAGTTTGTTCAGAGGTATCACTGAGTTTGTAGTTGCTTTCAAATTCACTTCCAGACGGATCGGGACCATTTTGAAAGAAATTGAGAGGCAAGGTAGAGGACGAGGCATTCATTGAAGTTTCTGTGCTGTCAACACTACCTACCCTCGGTCGACTCTGAAGTTTACTTTTGTGGTCAGTCTTCTGTTGATGTGCCAGGTGTCGTTGTGGAGTGTCAGAGGTTAGGGAGGATTCTTGAATGTATTCCAGTGGAAACTGAGGACTTGTGTTGCTAGATTTTGTGAAATAATAACATGCTTTCAGTGGTAAATCCAAAAAACTAAACTTAATTTATAAGTGATTGAACCTAGCAAAACAAAACGAAAAAATAAAAACAGAAAAATAAATTAATTAATAAACAAAAAATAAATTAATTAACTAAACTGAATTATATATAAAAAGACCTGTTTGTAATGTGAACTGTTGTGTGTTTATGTTCTTGCTGCTCTTGGATAGCACTGCTGATGGCAGATGCACTTTTAACATAATGAATCACTACTTTCGGTAGCTTTTTCTTGGAGGCTGTTTTAACCTTTCGATGTTTCTCTTCCTTAATATCATCTTCATTAATATCTTCCATTGTTATCGTGGCCTTACTTTTATCATTCAGTCCATTAAACACTGATCCATTTTTACCTGAAACATCTGAAGATATTCTAGCATCA